TCCTTGCTTTGAATCTGTGGGGACCAGTTTCGAATTTCACTTGAGGAACTTCCCAGGGTGTGAACCAATAAGGTAATTTGTATTTTCTCCAGAGGAAAAAAAATGAAAAGAAAATACTACCACTTATTTAAATTAAAAGGCTAAAATTTAAAATATACATATACATTATGTATATATGAAATGCTTTTTCTTATTACATACAACTTCGCATTTTCCTGCTTTTCTCTAGAATTATGTGCATTTGTGAGCCAGGTTACCATGGATCTCTCTGTGAATTGGATATGAATGAATGTGAAATCTCACCTTGTCTAGATGGAGAAGATTGTGTCAGCAGAACTGGTGGATACAACTGCCTCTGTGCTCCTGGTTATACAGGTAAACCTCTATCTGCCCTGTCTGTATCAACATATGGCTATCTGTAAAAAATTGGCAATCTTATATTTATTCTCCAAAACCTGAATCAACCGGACACATGCAGGTAGCACAGGAAGTGCAAGAGACTTCAGTAAAAGAAATCAGTAAAAACAAAAATTATGCTTTTTAGTGTATCATTTGCTAACAACTAAGAAATATATGAATAATATTTCAAGGTATTTTACACATTTATTATTTTTGAATTGAGATGTATCTGAATTATATTTCTATTTTTATAATACAGAGAAGTATCAGTGTACGAATAAACTAAGAAATAATACTATCATATCAATTACACAAATGTCATCTAAAAATATAGTAAGGTTAGCTCTTTTAAATATACTTATATGCCAGAAATCAAGGAACCATTATGAACTTAACCTTCTAGCAGAAAAATATGATTTGTCTTAATATCAATTATTCCACAACACAAATGCTATCCAAATATAAAGACAACAGTCATCAAGGAACTAAGGAAAGAAAAACATATTAGCCTTCTAAACTTTGGCTGAGAAACTTTATGAAATACAAAAAGCTATATTATTTTTATTACCAATATTAATTATGTGAATCCAGAAAAAATGTATTGAAATCTCAAGTTCCAATTTATTAATGTCTGATTTTTATACCACTGGGATCTCTTGGGTTCCTTTCCTGAGGGAAACTAATTAAGCGTATCTAATATTACATTCTATTCTCTCAGGCATAAAATACACTAGAAAAATAGAAATAAGATTGGAAAGCAAACTGATAAAAAAAAAATTAGAGGTATTTCTATTGGATAAGTGATCAAAAGGCAAGAAAAAGTTAAGTGACATGAGCAAAGAATACACAGGTACTTTCCTAAGGAATCCTGATGGCGTCAGAGAAGGTTACATTGGTAACAATTGTTATATGCACAGAAGTTTCTGCTTAAATTTAAAAAAAAAAGGCTTAAATTCATATCTACAAATTTTATTACATAAGGAAGAGGCATTAAATTTTGACTATAAAATAGGATCCTTTCTAAATGCCATGTCACTCATCAAATCCCAAATTATTAGAATTTTTATTTGGGACCATAGATACCACCCAGCAATATCATTTGCCATGCCATTGTTTTCTGCTGCTTACTGCTTGTAACAGTGTTGAAATAAGAAATGACACACTGAGTTCAATGTGAGTGAGAAACACATTTTGTAAAATTATTGATGTAACACATTGTTCTGATATTTTAAATTCATTGTAAAATTTGAAGGTTTAGCATTTTTTTCACAACCTCTCTATTTTTATTGAAAGCTGATGTGCTCAGTGTTGTTTCCAAATTTAATATTGGGGGCACCTGGGTGGCTCAGCGGGTTGAGCATCCCACTCTTGATTTTGGCTCAGGTGATGATCCCAGGGTCTTGAGATCAAGCCCTGTATAGGGTCCACACAGGGAGTGGAGACTGCTTGAGATTCTCTCTCTCTCTCTCTCTCTCTCTCTCTCTCTCTCTCTCTCTCTCTCTCTCTCTCCCTCTCCCTCTCTACCTCTCTCCCCCCACCTGCCCCTTTCCCTGCTCATGCATGTGTGCTCTTTCTCTCTCCAAAAAACCAACCAAACAAACAAAACAACAACAACAACAAAATAAGATTGAATTGCCAATTAGACACCACAGTGGAGAAGTTGAGTACACAGTCAGCTGTATGAGATAGTCTAGAATGAAAACATAAATTGTGAGAGTCTTCAGATACAACTATAATACTAGATAAGATCACACAAAAGTGAATGAGAGAAGAGGAGAAGAGGACTAAGGACTGAGCCCAGGAGCACTGTAATATTTAGTAGTCCATGAGAGGAAGAAGAATCAATACAGGAAATTGAAAAGAGAAGTCAAAGATACAGGAAGAAAAGCAAAGGAAGACGAAGTGCAGAAAGCCATGTAAATTCTTTCAAGTAGAGAAAATGATCAACATTGTCGAATGTTACTATTAGGTCACATAAAATAAGGACTAAGTACTGAGCATTGGAGAAGCAGTGGAAATGTCATTGGTGACATTATCAAGGAAGCAGTTTGGTTGGAGTGGAGGGTGCAAAAGTCTATTTGAAGTGGATTTAAGAGATAATGTGAGAAAATTAGATTGCTGAGAGTGAACATACAAAATTTATTAAAGGAAGGTTTGCACTTTTTAAGATGGAAGCAAGAAATGGGGTAGTAGCTTGAGGAGGGAGAGAGATTTAAAATAAAAGTTTTTTCTCACATACTTAAAAAATAACTCTGACTCCTATGTGGAGAATAGACTGCAGAGTTTCAATAGAAGCAGAGAGACAAATCAGAAGGCTTTGGAATTACAGTTGACCTTGAACAAGGGTTAGGGGCACCAACCCCCATGCAGTCAACAATCCATGTATAATTTTTGACTCTCCCAAAACATTACTAATAGCCTACTGTTGACTGGAAGTCTTACCAATAACATAAACTGTTGGTTAACACGCATTTTGTATATCACATGCATTATATACTGTATTTTTACAATAAAGTAAGCTAGAGAAAAGAAAATTATCAAGAAAATCAAAAAGAAAATACACTTATAATACTGTACTTTTTTTTTAATATCCATGCATAAGTGGACCCATGCATTTTAAAACCATGCTGTTCAAGGGTCAGCTATAGTTTAAGTGATAGATTAGATCATAGTAGAGATGGTGAGACATGCCTATATGTAGCATATTATGCATGCTCAAAATATTAATGAATAGATGAATATTAATAATATACAAATATTAAGGTTACCACTCAACTAATCATTGATTAATCAAACTATGTTCCCTTTCTATCTTTGAGGAAAAATTATTTAACTCCCTCTCACTGATTCATTGGGTTCTGAAACACTTTTTATTTACTTTTACTTTGGGGACTCAAGCTGTTCTGGAATGATGCTCTCATAAATATACATCAACAAGGCATACACCACGTAATTGGTTAGTGGGAAGGCCACTTATGATTCCTTGGGCTTCCATTCAATTTCTAAATCTGAATTTGTTTGGCCTCTTTTCCAAGGAAAATTTAAATGTCAAACTCAGGAAATTATGCTTGTGTTGGGGTTAATTATTGTAGGCTTCTCATATGAAAAGAAATGAGCTTTCTTCTTAATTTCAAGATTTATTGGAAAGTTACAAATACCCAGCTTACTTGCCATTGTAAAAGTGGATTTTCATACCTGGTTCGATGGATTAGTACGAGCCCTCAGATGAATTTACTATGGAGTAATTGGGGGTAGTCCAAGTGTCTCTGTTAGGCACAGTCATTTCTGAGATGATTTAGCTGTCATTTCAGGCCAGGTGTATCAGAGACTGGCAGCTTGCTACATGGCTTCCTGGAAGGGTGGGAGGATTAAATTCTCAGACTTCTACTAGATAGCCATGACCATAAAAAGAAATCATTCATATTTACTCTCTCCCTAATATAGATATATCTGAGAGAGATTATAACCTGATATACCCCAAATGATATTAATTGCTATGGTGAAAGATTGTGTAGGAAAATGATTACACGGGGCTGGAATAAGGTTAGGAGTTGTGGAGGCAAATTTAAACACAGCAGTTATGGAAGGCCATGGAAAGACTGATTTTATTTAAGATTGACATACCATTTGGTACACACATCCATATTGTATAGATAAAGTGGTAGATTGAGAAAGAGTAAGACATCAAGAACCAAAAGTACACTTAATAACCTATAAAGATGAGAATATTTCTCTAATAACAGGTTTTTATATTTTTATATAACTGGACCATTAAGGGAAGAAATTAAAACAACAAAGAAGTTTTTATATTTCAAGAGGATATTAGAATATTCATAGTGTGTATATATAAAATTATATTTAAAAAATCATTATCACATCACAAATCAAGTAAGAGAAACACTTAAAATTTTAGTTGTAGTTGGCAGTCTAGCTAGTGTCTGTGAACTAGGAAAAAAAATAGGAACTGCACAAGGACTAATCTAATTTTAAATTTTCAAAGATTTGCATATTTCTCAGAATGCTTTCATTTCCATACCTGTGTGTAATGTGAACCCTGTCTTAGCAATGATTTAACCTAAAGTAGGGTGAGGAGTGGGGCGATGATATTTTAGGGCAAATATAGAAAACATAACAAACCTGTGCTCAGAAGCAACTTCTTTCAGTATTTTAAAATATTTCTTCTGGTTTTGGGGCACCTGGGTGGCTCAGTCACTTAATCGTCGACCTCAGCTCAGGTCATGATCTCGGGGGGTTCGTGAGTTTGAGCCCCACGTGGGTTCCGTGCTGACAGCCCAGAACCTGAAGCCTGCTTCATATTATGTCTCCCTCTCTCTCTGCCCCTCCTCTGCTCCCACTCTATCTCACTCTCAAAAATAAACAAACATTAAAAGATTATTTTTATCTTAAAATATTTCTTATGATTTTTACTTTCATATGTCCTTTTTGTTACTTTATTTATTTATTTTGAGAGAGTGAGAGAGCACACACATGCAAGTGAGGGAGGGACAGAGGGAGAGGAAGAGAGAATCCTAATCTGTCTCCATGCTGTCAGCTCAGAGCCCAACTAGGGGCTTGATCATGAACCGTGAAACCATGACCTGGGCCAAAATCAAGAGCCAGAATCTAAACCAACTGAGCCACGCAGGCAGCCTTACTTGCATATTTCTATATAGTATATTTATACTACTATTCCTTTATTTTTTTTCCAATTTTTTACATTATCTAAATAGTTTTTCCTATAGAAAATAAAGATTTTGCTGTGTTATCACCATTTCTATTCACCAATTTATACATGTTTTTCCCACTACTTTCTCCCAAAATGGTTATATCTAAAATCTTATTAGGAATTAATATTATTATTAATATTACTAGAATATTATATCAGTTTTCCTTTTTTATTTTCATTTTATTTTTACTGATTTTGATAGACATATTTTCCAATGCCTTTATTATATTGTTAAAATCATTTGCCTCTC